CTCAGATCTGGGGTCGCCCTTCTGGCTCAGCCCGCATCCTGTCTCGGTGGGCAGAGGCCCGCAGGCCGTCTCTGGACAGGCTGGTGACACCTAGAGCTGCCTGTGGCCACCGTGTAGGAGCCATCTTCCAGAAGGTCCAGCCAGAGGGCCCCTGCTCACCGGATGAACAGGGTTAGGAAGCCGGGGAGCTGGCATTTGCCGCTGGGGCCCGTTATCCTATGTTATTAAAAGAAAGACGGAACAACAGCTCCGTAAATACAGTTAGGTCGCGTGCCTTCTGTGTTTAAATCATATTTCCTAACAGCCGTTGCTAGGTTTGCTTCGGTTTGGTTGAGCTAGCCACTCCGGAATCTGGGAAGACGGTCTGGCCGCTTTTGCTCATATCTGCCTGGAGAGGTGGCTTTTCCTGCCACCCCCTTCCCCCACCTACCCGTCCCCATGACTGAGGACTGTTAGGAGAGACCACTTTTTTCCCATCTTCCCTCACTGAATGTTGCAATTAGAGGGCCTACTCCAAACAATAAGAGGAAAGACCTTGGGTTGCCCGTGAATTACTCCCAGAAGGGGATGGAAAAAAATACAAGATTACCTTTGAGGAGGAGGGACAAGAATTGGGAGAGAGTGTGTTCATTCATGTGACAAAACAACAACAAGAAACTTGAAAACTTCCCCAAACCAAGATATGGCCATAACTTGGGGCAACCCTCTTTTGGAGCCCCTCCTGCTGCGGAAACTTTGTCTTCTTAATTAAAGAAGAGTCCTTAGCTTAGAGAGGATATAAGTTTGGATTTTTTTTTTAATTACAAGCTTCAGCTTTCTTCTTGAATAACAAGTTGTTAAATAATAGCTTCTTCATTAAGTATACTCCCAGCAAGAGATACATCCTGCAGTGTTGCCTAACATTTTATGTTAGGAAGGAGGAAGGGTTAAAAACCCCAAAAGAAAAGAAAGTCTCCTTTCAACGCAGTGTTTGGTTACATTTGTGCTTCTTATTATGTAATTTAGCTGCATCACAATGAAGTGTTGTCATCCATTATTTTCTTCATAATACATCAGGAATAGGAACTAAAATTGAAAGAAAAAAAAAATTCGAGTAGATTCTGGCCTCCCTGGGGGAAAAAAAATGAGAGAAATGAAAATGGATCTATGGCATGTCTTATTCAGTTATTTAATTGGATTCTATGGATTAAAAAAACGAACAGCCAGGCTCGGTGGCTCAGCCTGTAATCCCGCACCTTTGGGAGGCTGAGGTGAGTGGATTGCCTGAGCCCGCGGGTTCGAGACCCGCCTGGGCAGGCAAGACCTCATCTCTACAATAAATAAATTTTAAAAATTATCTAGGTGTGGTAGTGCGCGCCTGTAATTCCGGCTACTCTGAAGGCTGAGGCGGAAGGATCACAACTCAGCTCTTCCCCTGTTTCACCTGGCCTTTAAATCATTACTGATAAAACACCATTTTCCCCAACGACTTCACACACATCCATTCCTTTTTTTTTGCGTTGGAGTCTCACTGTTGCCTAGACTGGAGTGCAGTGGAATGCTCCTGGCCACCGCAGCCTCGACCTGCTGGACTCAGGTGATCCTTCCACTGCAGCCTTCCAAGTAGCCAGAACTATAGGCGTGCACTACAATGCCCAGCTAATTTCTTTGATTTATTGTAGCAACAAGGCCTTGCCGAGTTGCCCAGGTGGTTCTCAAACCCACGGGCTCAAGCAATCCACTGGCCTCGGCCTCCCAAAATGCTGGGATTACAGACTGAGCCACCGAGCCTGGCCTCACACATCCATTCTTAATGAGAGTATAGGCAGACACTATAAGCTTGAGGGTGGGAGTGGGCATGGGGATGGGTGACCATGGATTTAGCAGCTTCTTGGGGAAGGTAAAGAGTAACATTCAGTATTAGACTCCAGGTCAGGGAACTTTTGCTAAGAGGCTCCCCCTGTATCAAAGAGGCTTGGGCCTAGGATTTATCTGTACCTCAACCAGCGACAATGACAGATTCAGCGAGTCAGTCACAAAGAACAGGCTCCTAGTCTCTCCTCTGTCTCTAGAATCTTTCACCAATAGATGCTTTTGTTTCCCAGCAGTCATAGATACGCCTCAGACTGGTATTCTCTTGCCTTTTTAAAACAGACCGAAAAATCATGCTCAAAGAATGATATGCCTTAGAAAGGCAATTCAAGCACAGTAACATTATCAGGGCAAGATGAGGTTGGACAGGGAGTCTGGGGTGTTAGCCTGACAATACTGGGCACTGATCCTGTGAGCTTTTTGGCTCCCAATATGACAATAACATCATCTGGGATTGGGAGCATCTTAAATGATTAAATCACCTTACTAAATTACACAGTAAGTTTTCTTACAGCTAGAAATGTAAACTCAAAGCAAGACAAACTCCTTTACTTGCAAAAGGCCTAAAATATTATTTCTAGGCTTCATGAAAATACTGCTTTATATATGACTGGAGGTATTGATACAGAGACCCACTAATGTTCGTCCGTGTTGCCGCAGCCCCTAGAGAGGGGCATTCCCAGTGGGTAGTTTCAGGGGATTCTTGACTTCCCTGCAGACTATGCCCAAAAATGTAATCCCTTTTTTACTTCCCTTCCTAGAAATCATGGGTTTGAACAATATAGTATCCATGTAATTATAAGTATTGTGATTTGCATAACTTTTGCATCAATATAATCTTTAGTCTTGTGATTTGTATAACTTTTGTATCATTGTAATTGTGAATCTTGTGACTTGAGTGACTTTTGTAATGCATAATAAACTTCCTTTACTCTAAATGTCACAGTCTAAATGTAAAACGCAGTTGTAACTGAAGTCCTATAGGATGCGCTGCTGGTTACTGGCTAATGTATAGGTACTAACAACTCTGGACTGTAAAAGTGAACAGGAAAAGCCTGGAGGGTGAGCAGAACTATTTTAGAAAGACCTCAAGTCCGGCTCTGCTCCTTGGATTTGAACTCAGAAATAAACTTCTTTCTACCAGTTCCCTGCCTCTTTGATTAACTGATATCAAGGGGAGCAGCCAAGCGTTACTTGGAACATAACAGTATCATTTTACAGATGTTATTAACTAATAATTGAATAATAAAACTGTAGTACTATGATCAAGCACTTTACATCACTACCTGTTTTATAAAAGACTAAAGTAATGGTCAAATAGTTACATAATTTAAGAATTTATGGAGGCCGTGCTCGGTGGTTCAGCCTGTAATCCCAGCACTTTGGGAGGCCAAGGCAAGTGGATTGCCTAAGCCTGCGGGTTTGAGACCCACCCGGGCAACTAGGCAAGACCTTGTCTCTACAATAAATTAATCGGGTGTGGTAGCGCGCCCCTGTAGTTCTGGCTATTTAGAAGGCTGAGGCGGAAGGATCGCCTAAGTCCAGCAGGTAGAGGCTGCGGTGGCTGGGAGCATACCACTGACCTCCAGCCTGGGTGACAGAGTGAGACTCCAACTCAAAAAAAAAAGAATTTATGGAAAATATGCCTTTTGACCTAGCAAATAAAAAAATTCTAGCCAGACTCGGTAGCTCAGCCTGTAATCCCGCGCCTTTGGGAGGCTGAGGTGAGTGGATTGTCTGAGCCCGTGGGTTCGAGACCCACCTGGGCAGCAAGACCTCATCTCTACAATAAATCAAAAAATCAGCCGGACGTGGTAGTGCATGCCTGTAATTCCAGCTACTCGGAAGGCTGAGGCGGAAGGATCGCCGGAGCCCAGCAGGTCGAGGCTGCAGTGTCCGGGAGCGGCCACTGCACTCCAGTCTGGGTGACAGAGTGAGACTCCAACTCAAAAATAAATAAATAAATAAATAAATAAATAAATAAATAAAATTTATAGGAGACTACTGGTTTGGACTAAGCTCCTGCACTTGGCCCACCAAACCAAACTAAAATGGAGTTACTCATTCTGAAGTTCCATGATGCCACCAGGCCAAAACTCAGTCTTTTACCTGACCTTTGGAGAAATCATGAGAGAGTTAACAGCCAAACCACCAACAGACCACTTTTAGCCAGCGTGATAAGCTCTGCTTTAACTTTTACAAGAGGTGTTACCTGATTCTAGGGTTACAAATAATAGCCACGTAAGACCTTTAAACTAAATTTCTTGTAATTCTGTCTTTTGACAGTTCATTTTTTAAAAATAACAATATCGAGCCGGGCTCAGTGGCTCAGCCTGTAATCCTGCGCTTTGGGAGGCTGAGGTGAGTGGACTGTCTGAGCCCGCGGGTTCGAGACCCGCCTGGGCAACTTGGCGAGACCTCAACTCTATAATAAATCAAAAAATTAGCTGGGCCTGATAGCGCACGCCTGTAGTTCTGGCTACTCAGAAGGCTGAGGCGGAAGGATCGCCGGAGCCCAGCAGGTCGAGGTTGAGGTGGCCGGGAGCAGCCACTGCACTCCAGTCTGGGCGACAGAGTGAGACTGCAACTCAAAAAAATAAAATAAAATAACAATATCTAGAAAGACGCTTATTACTAAGATGTTTCGCAAGATATTGAATTGTCTTTGTTTTCGTAAGTTTACTATATGGTTTGACTTTTTAAAGTGAACACATACAAATTTAATTAAAAAAAAGTTTTAAAGAAAATTTGATAATATTATATGTACATTTTCCAGGCCCCATTTAAAAAATAATTTTTGGCCGGGCACAATGGCTCATGCCTGTAATCCCAGCACTTTGGGAGGCTGAGGTGAGAGGAGTGCCTGGGCAACTACAAAACATCTATAAAACATCTCTACGATAACACCCCCCCCCCAAAAAGATAGCTGGTCGTGGTGGTGCGTGCCTGTAGGCTGGAACTACTTGGAAGGCAGAGGCGGATCACTTGAGCCCTGCTGGTCAAGGCTGCAGTGGCTGTGAGCGTGCCACTGCACTCCAGCCTGGCTGACAGAGTGAGACTCCAACTCAAAAAAGAATAATAAAAATATAAAACAATTTTCATTAATTTTATCAACAAATGCAATTCTAAAATGAAGGTGAAATAGTGACTTTTCCTTTTTTTTTTTTTTTTAAGCAGGATTTATTGAGAGGACAGTAACACTCCCACAGTGGGAGGGGACCCCAGGGGGTTGCCTGTGTCTGTTTTTCAAGTGTCTTTTGAATTTGGTAAACTTGTGCTATTACTTCATTACCACTTAAAAACTTATGTGTGTTTTTTTATTTTTATTTAGTTTCTCCAATATTCCTAAAACAACTTATTTTTGCTTTTTAGCAAGCAAAACTGAAATGTCTTCCCTTCATCAAAGCTTACGGGTGATTTAAATGAGATAAAAATCGTACTAGGTCTTTTTTTTTTTTTTTTTGAGTTGGAGTCTCACTCTGTTGCCCAGACTGGAGTGCCATGGCACGCTCATGGTCACCCCAGCATTGAGCTGCTGGGCTCCAGTGATTCTTCCACCTCAGCCTTCCAAGTAGCCAGAACAACAGGCATGTGCTACCACGCCCGGCTTTTTTTTTTTTTTTTTTTTTAATTTTATTGTAGAGATGAGGTCTCACCAAGTTGAGCGGGCTGGTCTTGAACCCGCGGGCTCAGGCTATCCACTCACCTCGGCCTCCCAAAGTGCTGGGATTACTACAGACTGAGCCACCGAGCCCGGCCCATACTAGGTCTTAAAATGGTTCTGTTTAATTCAAATTGAGTATCCTCGTGGAGGCAAAACTTCCATTTATTTCAGTCATCTATATCAGTGTTTTCCAAACATCTTAGGAAATAAATGACCTGGGACACTTGTAAAAATACGAATCCTAGTCCCCACACCAGAGCTACTGACTCAGGCTGTTGGGAGACAGAAGTGGTTTTTAAGGTATGAAGACATTTTTGCATCCCTCTCAAGAACACACTATTGGAAACAAATATAACATATCACTGCATTGCCACAGTGTAATGGTTCTGGGTAATTCACAAGATTTATAATAATAACTATATACCAACTTTTGATTCAAAGTTGCAGTTGCTTCCTGATTTTTGCAATTCCATCTCACCTGGACCAGTTCTGAGTCTTGTGGATTTACCTCTGCATTCCAATTTCTATCATCCCTTTCCAAAACACTTGGCCCCGAAAAGTTATCCATTTCCAGACTTAATATTTATGCAATCACCACAAAAATGTGTTTTCAAAATTTTAAAGCATGCTTTTATGTTGGAACTTGTAGCTGCTTTAAAATGAAACTTTGATCTCCATTCAAATATCATTTGACAGCAAAAGGGTTAAACAATTGTGGATTGTTCCATTATTCCCTGCAGGGAACATAAGAACTTCAAAAATTATATATTGCACAAAAGAAACTACATTCAATATTACTCAGAGACTTGGAGGTCATAAAATTAAAAATTAGACTTTCTTGCTTATGTTGCAGGGGTATTTTCTAATAGAAATAGCTTTATAGTCTCACCAAAAAAAAGAGAGTAATTTTTTGTTACTCATCTGTCCCTTGCTTTGCCATTATGAAACCTCTCTTCCCTCTCCCTTCAGAACCGATGGAATAGTCTGAGCCTTTGCAGGTAAGCGACTGAAATTTGCTTTCTATACGAAGTTCATAAGAATGAAATATTCATCATTTTTAGTGTATCTTATGTGGCTTAGGAGTTACTGCATGATAAAATTTTTGCTTAGAAGAAAATGAAATGTTTCATTTTTAAAGTTGTTCAATCTTAAATGTTTTCCTCTTCATTATCAATTATTAATGTATGTTTCTAAAAATTAAAAGGTATATGTTAATTAGGCTGCCTATTATTAGGAAATGGGTGGAGAGATGAAAGTTCAAAGAATGTTATCATTTCTGTATCAAGTAAGTGAATGAGTCATTGTACAAAAAGGTATAAAAGAAGCAGATCACAGATTAGAAACAATGTCATTACAAAAAAAAGAAGCCGTATAGTATAGTATAGTAGGTTCATGCCAAAAGCTGATGATCACTAATGCTGTGTATAAAAATGGATACAAAAAAAGCAACAGCTTTATGCTTTGAGCTAATTTGTCACTTGGAAATCACGATACGAAACCCACAATCTTCACAAAATCAAGAGGCCATTTTCACGGCCTTTTCAAATGTTTTGGCATTGCAACTGAAGTGACTTTATTAACATTTAGACATTTAAAACCATTTCACCATTTCTCTGATGCAGATTTTTTTAGCAGCTACTTCTGTTTCAATCAGAGATAGTATGCCTTTATGTATGCAATTCATAAAGAAGTCTTCCTTATAGCTTGGAAATGTGAACATCAGAAAATATATAGACAACTTGAACTTCTTCCCAATTACCATTGTAAATTACACTTTTTATCCTTGACTGAACAGGGTATACCTTAATGAGTGTGGTATTCCATCTACATTATGAACATGTTCTTGTGGCTGAACATATTCATGTTCTTTCTCAAGAAGAAAGCTTGTGACTGGTCTTTACAAAAAATACCTGGCCTCAGTGAGTGACCAGGATCTATATGCAGTGCTTTCTCAGTCACTCCAAAATTATATTTTTAAATTTTATTTTATTTTCAGTTTTTATTTACTTTCAAGATTCTTTTTTAGCAAGAACAAAAAACTTAAATAAGTGCACAAACTGATTTCTTAGTGAACCTAAATGTCAGAACTTTTACATTCAGAAATAAAGAGATGATTGGAAACAAAAAACAAACAAAAAAAAACCTCAGTCACAAGTTATTTAAAAATCAGACAGAAGTGCCCTCACAAAATGATGTCTTGTTTTGGGTGAAATGGATCCTTCCTTTATCTGATGTCAAGTGACCAAATTATTGTTTACCTCAGAAAGACTCTTGACTAGGATTTCCACTTGTCTTTATATGCACTTAGCAAAAGGTGTCTGTGACTATTCACCTTCAGAGAAAGAAGAAAAGCAGAGGAGAGAATCTGTATCTTCAAGAAGCCAAGCGACAAAGTATTGAAATCGCCTGGAAAGAGTTCAGAATGGACGCCAGCGAGTCAAATGTTCACCTGGGGCTCCATTGGGAAGAAAGAAAAGAAAAATCAAAATGCAAGCAAAGAATGGCCTTATTTTTCTAGACGGTGACCCTCCAGGAAAGCCCCAAGGAAGTACTCCCTTAGCAACAGGCCCCAAGTTGCACAGACTGTCCTAAACAGGAAATCAGACTTCTCTCCGCGTCCTCCTTTACACCAGAGAAATGCACGTGGCGGCGGTGGCAGCAGACGTGATACTGCTTCTAAGCATGGGGTGGACATCAGATTCTCTCTGCTCACCCACCGTCTTCTACAGAGACTGCTGGATCCGGCGCTTCCCTGGTCTTCTCATTGACCTGGAGGAGTCTCAGAAGCTGGGAGCCCAGTTCCTGAAGTATTATTCTGAAAGCACGGGCCAGAAGTGCAGTAGAAGTTGCTGTCTTAGGAAGGATGGTGAGTACTGATGATATGCTTGAGCAAAGAGAAGAGGAAATGTCCAAGAATGAAATCCTAAGTAAGGAGCCCCCAGCAGAAAGTCAGCGGACAGTTGAAAAGAGAGAGGAGAGGGGAGAGTTTTGGGAACTGACTGTGCCATCTGGGTCAGAGCAGTCTCTATTTCAAATCTAGCAAAGACAGGAAACAGAGAAGCCTCTTTTCTTCACCAAAGTGCTATATGAAAATATTTCCTCCAGGGTTAATTAACTAACAATATTTTTATAGTCCCAAATAGAACACATATGGTTTCAAAAATGTTTCTGCTCATTTTCTTTCAAAGTATCTTTTGGTGATATTAGTATTATTTAAAATTTTTGAAATGTGCTTGCTTAGATTGACGAAATGTAGGATGAGCAGGAATTTACAATGTGATTCAGGTAAATAGTTTAGTTGATAAGGGGACATTTAGAAAAATAAATCAATAAAAAGAAAAAATGCAGGGATATGTGTGAAATAGCAAAAAGAAATCATATTTTCAAATTTTCCTGACAGATTTTTTTGTACATAATATGGACTTTGGGTGCAGACAGCATACATGTAATATGCTCAAAGTCTGCAAGCAGGAAAATATTTCATGGTTGCATAATTTCAAGTTATAATTGCTTAAAGACTTCTTTCATTTATTTTTTAGTTTTCCAAAATCTTAAAGCTACTTGGAAAGAAAAGCAAAGGGCAACACAGCACTTTAAAATAATTCCTTTGTTTGTCCCATACTTTCTTTAAATGGTTTGATATCAACTTATTAATTGCCAATTCCTCTTATCCAATTATGTGTGTAAGATTTTTGAGATGAAAATTAAAACTATTTGGTGAGTACAAATAGACTGTCAAGAGACCACAATGTATCACAGGCTAAGCCCTCAAAAGTTAATCAGGCAGTAAGAGAACAATTAATTTAAGAAAGGGGAATCTTTTTTAAAAGATAGCCAGGTCAGGTACAGTGGCTCACACCTGTAATCTCAGTACTTTGGGAGGTCGAGGAGGGAGGATCACTTGAGGCCAGGAGTTCAAGACCAGCCTGGGCAACACAATGTAACCTTGTCTCTACAAAAAAACACAAAAATTAACTGGGTGTGGTGGTGCATACCTGTAGTCCCAGCTACTTAGGAGGCTGAGGCAGGAGGATCACTTGAGCTCTGGAGTTCAAGCCTGCAGTAAGCCATGATCACACCACTGCGCTTGAGCGTAAGCAACAGAGTAAGACCCTGTCTCTCAAAAAAGAAAAGAAAAGAAAAGCTAGCGATACATGTGATACAAATCCATCGGTCAGAAAGACAAAGACAGAGAGAGAATCCAAATTTCTATCTCCCAGATGCTTCTAACTCCCACAAACCTTCACCAAGTGGAGGTGGCAGAGGGGCAATACCACAACACCTTTCCTTTCTTGAGTTCTCCCCTGGCGTGAACTGACCTGACTCTCCATGAAACTGTGGCCTCTGGACTGTCATGGATACTGTAAGCATCCAGGACAATCCGACGATTTTAGAGCCCCTGTAAGTTCCAAGTTGTGGCTTTCTTCCTTCAGAACAAGAAGGGGCAGCAAGGTGCATCCCAATTTTTAGCTGGAAGCTGTAACTTTAATATGCCACAATCCTGCCCAGAGCTGGGATTCAGAAACCTATACATTCAAGGAATGTAAAACATCTTTCATAATTTTTCTTTACAGAATCAACTACTTTCTCCTCAGAAACTTACAAGTCTTACATTTGAATAATTTTTGTTCCCTTCCCTTAAACTTTACAGCATAGTCCTCAGGGAATGTATTTGTCATCTGTAATGTATTAGCAATGTATTACTAACTTTTGTCCTATTCTTTCTCCTTCTGGAAAAATAAAGAGTGCAGAAACATGAGGGTGTCCCAGAAGTAATGGCGGAGTTGTAGTTCCCCGCAGTTGACCTTACACAGAAGCAGGGCCGGTTCTGCCAGCAGCAGTTCCTCAGAGCTCCAGGCACACTCTGAGGTCTGCTCATCAGACACTATCCCTCTGTAATCCTCTTTTATTAAAGAAGTTGATACCTTTCAGCCATCTGGTATTTCACATCACCTAGTTCCTACTGCACTGCAGCAGGAGTAAAATGTGTGTCTCACTTTAGGACGGATGGACTGGAGATTTGCATCCGACAGGTCTGACTTCAGGTTTTCCAGAAATAAGAGAACATGTTTTCAAGAGCAAATTTGCTTAGAAAAAGGGAGTCAACATGAGCCAATGGTGTGCCTGTCCCCACCTGTTATAAGTCCACCTACCAGCCGGGCTCAGTGGCTCAGCCTGTAATCCCGCACCTTTGGGAGGCTGAGGTGAGTGGATTGCCTGAGCCCGCGGGTTCGAGACCCGCCTGGACAACTGGGTGAGACCTCATCTCTACAATAAATCAAAATTAGCCGGGCGTGGTAGCGCACGCCTGTAGTTCTAGCTACTCGGAAGGCTGAGGCGGAAGCATCACTGGAGCTCAGCAGGTCGAGGCTGCAGTGGCCGGGAGCGGCCACTGCACTCCAGTCTAGGTGACAGAGTGAGACTCCAACTCAAATAATAATAATAATGATAATAATTCCACCTACTAGCCCCCTTGCCCATCACTCCCTACATTTCCAAATGACAGATACACCTGCAGTCCAGGCCAAGGATGATGCTCCTGTGTCCTACTGCCTTTTCACCCTCTAGCCTTTCCCAATAATTACTTTCCTGCCCTCTTCTTCTGGTACAGCATTTGTCCCTTTATTTTCCTATTTCTTTCTCTGGTGACCCCAGGACCTTAGCCTCCAGAGAAGGCACTGCACCTAGAAATCTGATACATGCATCCCAAGAGGTGTTTGTAGCTCACTGAATTTTTTATAAACATAAAATACTAAGACTAGGAAATAATGAAGGATTCCAGGTATCCTGTGTAGAATAGAATGTATGAAAGATCACTTAAAGAAAATCAGTAGACATTTTCCTTTAAAAAGGCATTTTCCATATTCATAGAAGAAGCTACAATAGTTCATAATGTTCTGTAAAATGTGTGAACATAACCCTGCAATATACTGTTCGTCTCATATTTCTGAAAGAAATGTAAGTTACTCAGAGCTCATCAAACTGGTGGGAATCAAGACCGCCATCTACTAATGTGCTTCAACTGTCTCCCTTTCAGTTTCCTGCAACGTGGCTGTCTTCTACCATGATCCTATTCATGACAATATCAACTGCCTCCATATTCATTGCCCGACGCTGGAGAGCTGCATATTAGAGCCTGGAACCAGTGCCATTTTGTACAACATCACAGATGGTAATTTTGAGACTTATGAAAAGTGTTGGTAATGTTCTAGTAAAATCATACAGCCTAGAACCAGCTGGCAATAGCCATATAATGGTCCCTAAATCATTATTTTCTGGTAAACTCTTGTCTGGAAAACTTTGGACATCCAGGGCAGAAAACTGAAAGAAAATTCCCATTAATTTGGCAAGTCCAGCAAAGAGTCCATTCCAGGTAGCAAGTCATATGTGATGGAGCAAGAGCTTGCCCATTGTATTTCATAAATCTCAGGAACCTTCAGCAAGAGGCAAGGATGGCATTTCTACTGCAGTGAATGAGGGTGCCACTAGGAGAGAAAGAAAATGCCAAACGGCAGTTTTGAGGGCCATGATGTTGCATACAAGAATTATGCAAAAAGGATGCCAGGGACAGGGAAACTTATCACCACTTACTGACACCCATTAGCATATCATTGGTCCCAAGATAATTTGTATATTTTATTTTTTAAAAAAATACATATTTAAGTATTCTTTGCCCATGTGTGTAATCTTGGGGTGTAAATTAGTGACCATAAAATATTAGATTTTTGCTATCAAAATACAAAGGAGATAAATGTATCAATTTGTATTTATTGAGCAATTAATATTCCAGGCAGGGCTCAACATTGCAGAAGATCACAGCCATATCCCTGCCCTCAATTCCTTTATAATCTAGTCGATGTGACAAGTCTTAGAATTAGAGTAAGACATATAACTAAATACAAAAATATGTAATACTGCCCCAGTACAAAGAAGGAGGGACTAGTGAAAGCTAGTTTAATCAGGGGAGGCTTCATGGGAGAAGCCAGGCAGAGGCAAAATAAGGGGTTCTGTATCACACAATGGGAATGTAAGAAAACTGGTCTGACTACAATAAGGGAACATGCAGAGCTGAGATGAAAATACGGCCAAGAAAGGGTAGGGCCAGGTAACAAAAGGGTCATGGACAGAGTAGAGTTTTGGTTTGACTTTGTCAGAAACAGAGAACTAACAAGGGCATTTAATGAGAAAACATCATAAAGTGGTGTCTAGTTATTTTAGTCTAGGAGAATTATATGCAGGATTCAGATTAGAAAATCTAGGCAGGGAAGCATCAGGATCTGCGCAAGGTGATCATAGTTGCAATGAAGAGGAAGGATGATTATGAGAACACTGGGAAGAAAGATCAAATAGGTCTTAGTTACCATTTGAATGAAGGAAATGAAGACGAGAGAGAAGTCAAAAAGCGCTCTTCAGTACAGACTCCAGTATGGGTGATGGAAGAATGGTGATACCAATGAAGGAGACAAGGAGGCAGACATCATGATTTTTGGCTTCAGGTTTACTCAGTTGGAGTTGATGTGAGAAGTACAGGTGGAAGCCTCTAGTAGAAGACTAGAGAAACGTGATCAGAGCTCAAGAAAGAGGGGGGAAATGGCGATATGGACTTCAGCACCATCAATGTAGTGGTAACAGTTGAGGACAATCTCTTTGTGTGTGTGGGAGAGGAGGCAGTGGTGAAGAGAAGACAGCTAGACACCAAGGACTAAAGATTGTGGAAACAGCTAAAGATTGTGGAAACAGCACAATCAGGAGCAAGAAGAGAACAGCAAAAGGAGGTCAAAATGAGAGGCAGTCAGTCTGGGGTAAAATGCCAAGGGGATCTGAGGTCTAGGGAGTCATAGGAGAATTTCAAGGAGAGGATGGCCAGCAGTATTGAGGACAATATAGAAAGAAGTCAAAGCTAGGAGACACGAGTGATCAGGAAGTAAGGAAACCACTAATTGCCTCAGAAGCAATGGATGTTGGCATGTTTGCAGAGAGAGAGAGACAGAGTGAGACAGAGTCACTAGCAGGGGCCATTAGAAAGCTGTTCTTTTTTTTTTTTTTCTCCCCCTATAAAGACAAAGCAATATTTGTGAACGTCTGAAATCAGAGGGGAAGGAATATAAGAAGCGAAAAATACTAAAGACAAAGCAAGACCCCCAGGGGCAAGGAAGAGGTTTAAGGCTTTGCTCATGACTTTGAATACAGTGACCCTTCTCAGGCCCTGCTTTGTTTAACTTTATTAAAAATGCACTATTGGCCGGGCTCAGTGGCTCAGCCTGTAAACCCAGCACTGTGGGAGGCTGAGGCAAGCGGATTACCTGAGCCTGTGGGTTTGAGTCCAGCCCGGATAACTTGGTGAGACCTCGTCTCTACAATAAATCAAAAAATGTGTTGGGTGTGGTAGCATGCACCTATAGTTCCAGCTACTTGGAAGGCTGAGGCAGGATTGCCTGAGCCCAGCAGGTCTGTCTGGGGTGGCTGTGAGTGTGCCTCTGCACTCCAGGCTGGGCAATGGAGATCCCAACTAAAAAAAAAAAAAAAAAAAAAAAGCTCTATCATCTACTGTTTCTGTGTATCCCTATGGTTGTGCAAAAGCCTGACAGACACAAAGCCTGCTTCTTGGGTGTAGTCAAATTTGTCCATAACAGTGTCACAGAAAGTTAAGGTCAATTCAAATGTAGCTGGTGTGTTCAGAGGCCTTTCAGAAGTATGCAGTGGTAGAACTGAATTTAGCTTAGTTTAATAACCCATTGTAGCAAAACCCAACACTTCTCCAAACTGTGCTTTAAGGTTTTCTCTTTGAAATTAAAAATAAAACCAATGATGCCTTTTTATCTTTCAGGTATAGATCCAGATTTGCTGGTTTTTGAACAATCACTTCCTGCATATCTAAATACCCGTTCTTCATCTAATAGGTGGGACAGACTAAGGATTCTAAAAGCTATGAGTTTAGAGAAACAACCGACCACCATGATAAACCATATGTTGCCATCAATAGAGGCTCCATCATCAACCACACATCAAGATTTGGTTGCAAACACAAACAGTACCCGTTATTTCAACGAATCAATCACAGATTTGGGGGCAAGATTCATTTCCCTGAATGACTCCCTTACCACAAAGGTAAATATGATGTCACCAAGTATTGATTTCATCAACAATTCAGATAACAAGACTATTTCTCCTTTCTTTGTGCCCATAGACACAAAACTTTCTCATATGCCTATTTTATCCCAACTCAACAGTAGCAAACAATTACTGAACAAAACCAAAGGGTACAACAGCAGAAACCACACATCTGCAAATGAAGACGAGACACTCGATGGGGCGTCTATGATTTCAAAGACCTGGCTGGTTCCTGTGGCCCTTTGCACTTTGGTCATCTTTCTTTGCTCTTGTTTAGTCATTCTGGCTTCTGGGCGCTGTCAAAAGCAGCAGGGCCAGTATAAACTAGGACAGAGAAAATCAGGATCCAGGCAAATTAAGAAATTTAATTTTTGAAGAACTCCTAACAGTACAAGTTGCAGTGAGATTGTAAGCTTTTGTTTTTAATTTTCTGTAAGACAAAGGCAGACCGGTTGAAAAAAAGAAATTACATAGGATGTCCTCTCTTACCAATCTCTAAAAAAAGGCCAATGTTTGATAAACATAACTTTTCTGATCATTTCCATTGTTGAGTAGAGTTCCCTTTGCCACACATCAAGATTTGGTTGTAAACACAAACAGTACCCGTTATTCCAACGAATTAACCACAGATTTTGGGGCAAGATTCATTTCTCTGAATGATTCCATTCAGAGAATCTTTCCATTCACAAAGGGAAATATGATGTCACCAAATACTGATTTCATCAACAATCTAGATAACACACTCTTTCTTTCTTTGTGCCCATAGACACAAAACTTTCTCATCTGCCTGCTCGATCTTGACTCAACAGCAGCAAACAATTGCTGAACAAAACCAAGGGGTACAATGGCAGTTCCAAAATTCTGACCTGCAATTTGCAGTTGTTATTTAGTACTATGTGAGAGACACTGTTTTAAGTGCTTTGGGGGTATTAACTCACTGAATCCTTACAACTCTGTGAGTGATATATATTAGCATTAACCATCACACTATTATTAGTTATTATTATTATTGTTAGAGACAGAGTCTTGTTCTGTTGCCCAGGCTGGAGTGCAGTGGTGCGATCATAGCTCGCTGTAACCTCAACCTCCTGGAATCAAGGAATCCTCCCATCTTGGCTTCTCAAAGCACTGGGATTACAAGCATAAGTCATTACACCCAGCCCCATTATCACATTTTATAGATGAGGAAACTGAGGCAACGAGAGGTTAAGCATCTTGCCTAAAGTTATACAACTATTAAGTAATAAAGTTAGGACTTAATTAAACATAGGCAATCTAGTTCAAAAGTCCATGCTTGAAATCACTGTTAGACTTGGAGCTTCTGTTTTCTCAATAAGCATTTTTTTAAAAAGACCCAGATTTGTCTCCCAGGCAAGGTTAAATTATTGTCTCATATATTAATAAAAATCATCTAGTGGTTTGAGCAAAAGAGCAAGATTACAGTTACTAACCCATAAACAAATGATTCCTGATTTTTATCTAACTATCAATGTTCAACAGCTTAATCCTTCTCTATCCTAATCCATAGCCATCTTCCTTTTAATAGCTACAGTATTGAGCTCTTTGAGTTTTCTGTGCTGATTTCTGTTGACTAAAGCTTGGGAATTTTAGTTTATATCCTTCACTTGTATACATTGTTTTCCCAGGTATGTCAGCTCTAGGTTTTTCAGCTCTGTTCAAATCTTTTTTTTTTTGAGTGGGAGTCTCACTGACACCCAGACTGGAGTGCAGTGGCTGCTCCTGGCCACCGCAGCCCTGACCTGCTGGGCTCCAGCGTTCCTTCCGCCTCAGCCTTCCAAGTAGCTGGAACTACAGGTGCGCGCTACCATGCCAGGCTGATTTTTTGATTTATTATAGAGATGCGGTCTCACCAAGTTACCCAGGTGGGCCTCGAACCCATAGGCTCAGGCAATCCACTCACCTCAGCTTCCCAAGGCACTGGGATTACAGGCTGAGCCACTGAGCCCGGCTTCTGTTCAGATCTTACACCAGACTTACCACCGACTCCTACACGCACACTGTTTTGTTTTGCTTTTTTGTTGAGATGTAGTCTCACTCTGTTGCCCAGGCTGGAGTGCAGTGGCACACTCACAGCCACCACAGCCTCAACCTGCTGGGCTCAGGTGATCCTTCCGCCTCAGCCATCCAAGTAGCTGGAACTATAGGCATGCGCCACCATGCCTGGCTAATTTTTTGATTTATTGTAGAGATGAGGGCTTGCCAAGTTGCCCGGGCCAGTCTTGAACCCGTGGGCTCAGACAATCCTCTCACCTCGGCCTCCCAAAGTGCTGGGATTATAGGCGTGAGCCACTATGCCTGGTCTGCACTCATACTCTTAAATGTAGAATACTGTAATTCAAGTCTCTAATGGACTCAAGCTTTAGGCCCTTCACCTCATTCCTGAAATCAGTTTTCAATGTGAAAACAAATATTAAAAGATAGCCAATAAGGGGAAATCCTATTACAATATTTATAAGATAGTACTGTTCCGTCAGATGTTAAAACAAATTGTCCAGTGGCTTAAGAGATATTTACTTATTCTTTCCCCATTATTGATACAGGTAGAAAAAGAGAACAACTATTTCTTTTATATTAAAATATTATTCTGTATTATAATATGTAAAATATTAAATTTCTTTTCATGTAAATATATAAAATCCCTATCAGTGGAATATCAACTACAAATAAGTATTTGATTTAAAAATTTAATCATTTGACCTTAATTTGCTAATAATTCATAATATTAGCTATTAAATTCTATCAACTTTGGGAAACATTGGGGAACACATTAGGGAAAAAACACATGCCATTTCGAAGAGGAGAATATCAAGATTTAACTTATCCTAAAATACATTTAAATAGATAATTCAGGAAGCTGTCTTTATAAATTTTCATACATACATTAAAAAAATTATTTACTTTTCTTTCAAGTATACGTGAATTGCTTAGAGGTCTTCCAACAAACCAGGGTTGCTAGAATAAAAATGTTTTTCTTCCTTGGGGTTTCTCAGAACTTTATTCATTCCTTAAAGTTGATAGTTTCACAGAAATGACCCTAATTTGGGAAAAAACATATTTGCCTTCAAAAGAAAACAAACATACTTCTCAGCCCCTACATTTGACCATCAGATAAACTGAGTAAACTGGGACTAGAGAGACAACAGATCAGTCAGTCCAGAAGCAAGAACAACTTGCGCTAGAAACTGCATTCTCACTAGAAGCCAAAGGGACCAAAGAGAACTTCTGAATTAAAGATTTTATTAAGAAACAATAAAAGATCTTAAGACCCAGTCAATAACTAAAGCTAGTCATTACACCCACTCAGGAAGTAACCATGAAATCTTGCTGACATTGTAACTAGCCAGATCATTAAAAAAAAGTCCATAACTTTTTTAGTACCATGAAATACCAATATTGGAAAGAATATGTAAAGAAAGAATTAAAGTAACATATAATTAAAAACATATTTGAGCTATATCTTAGTTGACTAAGTGTCTAAGCAGTTTCTGAGCTATACTACTTAAGAGTTTGAGCCGGGCTCGGTGGCTCAGCCTGTAATCCCGTGCTTTGGGAGGCTGAAGTGAGTGGATTGCCCGAGCCCGCGAGTTCGAGACACGCCTGGGCAACTTGGCGAGCCCTCATCTCTACAATAAATCAAAAAGTCAGCCGGGCGTGGTAGCTCATGCCTGTAATTCCGGCTACTCGGAAGGCTGAGGTGTAAGGATCGCCGGAGCCCAGCAGGTCGAGGCTGCGGTGGCTGGGAGCGGCCACTGCACTCCAGTCTGGGCGACAGAGTGAGACTCCAACTCAAAAAAAAAAAAAAAGAGTTTGATGTCAGAAATGCTTGCATTATCAATATAGCAAAGTATTCCCGGAAACCTCATTATAGGGGTGAATATAATGTTCATTGCATACATTGGATCAATTAGACACTTTAACGGACAAGGATCTGATTAATGACAAATAGTACTGCTTAATTACTGCTAAAGTTACAATGACATAAACTTATAATTTTGAGGCCTTTTTTTTTTTTGAGTCAGTCTCACTCTGTCACCCAGGCTAGAGTGCAGTGGCACGCTCACAGCCACCCCAGTGTTGAGTGCTGGGCTCAGATCCTTCCGCCTCAGCCTTCCAAGTAGCTGGAACTACAGACGCGTGCTACCACACCCGGCTAATTTTTTGATTTACTGTAGAGATGAGGTCTCACCAAGTTGCCCAGGCTGTTCTCCAACCCATGGGCTCAGGCAATCCTCTCACCTTGGCCTCCCAAAGTGCTGGGATTACAGGCTTGAGTCACTGCGCCTGGCCTTGAGGCTATTTTGTATGATCTTTCAGCTCTAAGATTTTACTGCTAGGCATCAATGATTGCAACCTAGGGGTCTTCAGGTCAGTTGCTTGGAGTTGATCAAACTGCAGAGGTTAAGAGGGCACAGTTCTCTAAAAGACTGACCTCACTTCTGACATCAACTCTAAGTTTGGGAGGGTTCCCTAAACCACCCTCAGGTTCAATAATTCACTAGAACTCACAGCATTCAATGACAACTAGTATAATCATGATTATGGTTTATTACAGGGAACTGATACACACGGAAATGACCCAAGGGAAGAAGTACACAGGTTGCAGTCCAGGAAGGGTCCAGATGCTTAGCTTTTGGTGCCCTCTCCCCCTAGAGTCAGGACATATTATTTTCCCAGCATCGGTGTGTGATAGTATGTGTGCAGTATTGCTAACCAGAGAAGACTGCCCAAGCCTCAGTGTTCAGAGCTTTTATTGGGCTCCGTTAGCTTGGTATGTGTAACAGACAGCCTGGGAAGCTGATCTCAGCTGCCACATGGGCTGATACCATGTGACCCAAAGCCCCTACCCTAAATCATGTGGTTGGTTTTTCTGGTATGGTTGGTCCCACCCTCATACTTTTTGGGGCTGGCTCCTGCCCTAAACAAAAACACCCTGATAGGTATGACATGGATTACCTCCCAGAAACTGAGGCAAAATCAAATTATTTATTACACATTACTCCTGCTTCCATCAGCACTATATTACTACACAGAGTGGACCACCCTAAGCTACCTCTTCTTCACATGTTCCCAAATGATCATCTCTTCTCAGCTTTTAGTTTTCAAAATGTTTCCCTCTTCAATCCTGTTTCTGCATCAGTTTCCCTTAACCCTATGTGAGTCTCCAAGTGTACTGATACATTTCTTAAAGTATGCTCTAAACATGAAAAATTCAGTTTTATCTATTTTGCTTTTCATTCGTGATTTCCATCCAATGGAACACAGCATGCTTTGCTTTCCCTTTTTGACTCAAGACCACAGACCCTTGGCCTTACTCATATCAAATCATACCTTCGTTTTATACAAATGATTTAGGCACTTGTTCCTTTTGGCTTTCATTTACATTCTTTGTTAGGCTAAGTAAATCTATTAGGCAAGTAAACTCTGAATAATTTATTTTGATTTTAAATTAATTACTTGTCAACAATCTTAGAAGTGAGAAGAAATGGCTTGCAGATCTATTTAAAAATACTGAAATGACAGATTGAATGGAATGTTTCTTAGGGCAGTTGCTGTCCTGTAATTTCACTCCAATTAATTCAAGGTCCTTATGCCTCCTCTTTCCTGGGTTGTGCAGCTCTAACTGGGGCATCCAGAGGGATAGAAACCAGGTAATCTCCATGTCTGCTTTTCTGCAAGCTTGGACTTGACAACAAGAGCTCCACAATAGTAGGATGTAAGCAGAGTTAAGTCATTATAAAGTGCCCCCAAAGAGAGGGACGGTACAAACTTTTTAGGTTAGAACATGCTTCTGCAGACCTGTTTCTAGAACAGAATCGGCAACTGTGATAATGGATTGGCTAGATAGCAGTTGTGTGAACTGCAAGTCAGGGGATGGACTCTGGCCTACCTTCCCAAATAATCAAAACCATGATTCAAAAGCAACCACTGAATGCAAGCTGGTTGGGAAGGAAATGTGGCAGGTGTCAAAATAAATTAAATGCCAATAATAAAAGGAGGTTTCAAAAAAATGTATACACAGTTTAAGTGATGTTACCTATGTATTTTCTAAGTTGAATTGAATTATGGTAGCAATGTGTAGTATGATGTTCACTCAAAAGATGGCGTTAATCAAATGAATGCTGGCGTCACCACGTGAAAGGCAGAACGATCAAAGAAAATGTTCGAAGCACGATTGTCATTTGAGGAAAGCGAGACCATTTTGAAGTGGTATTGGAAATTCGAGAACATGGTGGAAGTACAATGACAATGGAGGTGTGAGTATGCAACAGAACCTCCAACATGCCTAACAACCGCACGCATTCGTGATAACTTTGAGATGCATGGTACTGTGTGTGATGTGTACAAGGGAAGATCTGGAAGGCCTCGCACAGCAACAAGTTCTGCGGTAGTTCGCTGTAATCAGAAGTGCCTGCACGTTGATGGTAACCATTATGAGCACCTCTTGTTATTGAAGAAGTCAAATGTGACTTGTATTTACCTTTTATTATTGGCATATATTGAGTATTACAACTTTAATACAGTTTTTCCTTTCTTAAAATGTGTATACACTTTTTTGGTATCCTCTTATATACATGAATACTTAGGTTGTTACGTAGAAATAAAATCAGATACGTCCTAGATATAGGACATGGCTTGCAGATCTATTTAAGAATCAACTTTAGAATCAGAAGAAATCAGAAATCTAATTAGTCTGTTGCCCAGGGGAATAAACTGGAATAGTCATTGCCATTGAGCATTAGTATAAAAGGAATAATTTTAACTCTGATGTAAAACAATGGTTTTTAAAAACATTTTCAATTTTATGTCAAAATATATATTGACTACATAAATCATAACATTAATAAATCAAGCAGATTTTTCTACTTCTCAATTCATGTCACATTTAATAGTCTCTTCACTGATTCTTTGTACTAATAGTCTCTTCACTGATTCTTTGTACTGATGAAGGGTATTTTCATTTTCCCCGTCATTCTTAAGACTAACAACAGACTTTTTGTAATCTTCAACTTCTTTAGTACCCAGGAGCTCTTCTTTATTTACTTCCACATTTTTCTCAGTGGCTTTAATCTGGAGAAGTGTTTCCAGGATATTTTTTTCTGAGGAGCTATTTTTCCATACATACTCTTCCATGTCTGCTTCAGTCTTGTTTTTTTCCCATTCTTCAGTTTTCTGAAAGGAAAAAAAAAAACGAGTTCTGAATTCTGAGCAATATAATCAAAAGAAAAAATGTGTTTATTTTGGGTTTTTTTTTTTGAGTTGGAGTCTCACTCTGTCGCCCAGACTGGAGTGCAGTGGCTGCTCCCAGCCACTGCAACCTCGACCTGCTGGGCTCCGGTGATCCTTCTGCCTCAGCCTTCCAAGTAGCCGGAATTACAGGCATGCGCTACCATGCCTGGGTGATTTTTTTTTTTGATTTATTGTAGAGACGAGTTCTCGCCAAGTTGCCCAGGTGGGTCTTGAACCCGTGGGCTCAGGCAATCCACTCACCTCAGCCTCCCAAAGGCGTGGGATTACAGGCTGAGCCACCGAGCTGGCTTGTTTTTTTTTTTTAAGGAGAAGAGAGAGCTGTTTGCAAAATGCGGAGAGCCCTTGGCCAACAATCTGTGCACTGTGACCCGATTCAGCGTTATTACCCACCCGCACCAGCATGTCAGAGCTGCACTCTGCTATGTGCATACCAGTCACCAAGCTTGGTTACCACTCACTAATGCTATCCCCATAACTTACAATTTATCTGCCTTGCAAATTTCACTTACAAAGCTACACTGTTTTCCAGCAGATAGAGAAAACTCATTTTTTGAAGCTTTCTATCCCCTAAACCCTAACACATCAATATTTCACATTTTTTAGTTTAACAATAATGAGAGCTGAGAGAACTGTATTTATCTTTGAAACATGCTTGTGGGGATGACAGGAAAAAACCATTATTATAATAAAATTAAAAACAGTGTACGATATGTAATTTTTAGTCATAATGACTTCATATAGCCTAGAATTTTGTTTTGTTATTATCTTTACTTTCTTTCCCATAATGGAAACAATGTTTTGTTACTACTTGTTTGTCCTTACAAAAATTATTACCATGCTCTTCTAGGGAATGCAGGTAGTTTTTACAGTAATATAGTATAATTCCGATTTATGATTTAAATGGAGATGTAACAACATTCTGTGAAGAATCAGGCAACACAGCTAATAACTAAAATGTCTTATTTCTAAGAAATGCTGAATTTCAGCCACATTCTTTCCAAATTAACATAATAGTATTCTGAGCTATAGGCTATTATGGAATCATTCACTATTTTGAGTAACAACTTTTAGAGGTGGTAAAATATTAAAAGGGAAGTATATTTGTAAGACTGTCAGAAACAATATTCCACCTCTGAAAAATTCCCTGAAAGAGGCCCCAGCTTGAGTAGACAGCCCCAAGACTCCTCAGAGCTAAATGAGCACCAAGAAGCAGGAAGTTTCCACCCCTGTCACCCTCCCCTCCCCATCCCCACTATAAGTGCCCCTGAAAACAGAAAAAAGCATTGGAAATTTGTCCCACAGAGGGAAAAAAGGAGCCCCACCAACCACAAACAGGAAAGTCATTGAGGATGATACTGACTGAATCAGTAAACCGTATCCAGATCACAGAGGTCCAAGGAAGAGGCTTCCCCCATCACAAAGAGACCCCAAAGAAGAAGAAATCCTCCTTTAAATCCTTCAAACCAAGAACCTGTCCTTCAAGAGAAACCAATAAGATATTGGGTGTCTTCCCTGACCCCCAAGTTCCTGAGCCAAAGTAGGATATGTACACTCACAATTCCTGCATGTTTGTCCCATCTTCCTATATGGAATTTATGGTTGGCAAAAGTATCCCAGCTTGTGTCCTAGATACATCCAGTTAGAATCAACTCTATGTTTTTTTTTTTTTTATCTGGTGGGGGAGGCTTAGGCTTGGAGGGTGTAATGTGAAAGAACTTGTTATGCCCTTCCCCAAAACCCTGTTGCAGATAATTTCTAACAAACTCAGAATGTGTATGTTGAAAAAAATTAACTGACAAAATTATCCTACCCCACCTAATTTCTTGTTTGTTTGGTTTTTTTTGAATTGGAGTCTCATTCTGTCACCCAGGCTGGAGTGCCGTGGCATACTCACGGCCACTCCAGCGTTGACCTGCTGGACTCCAGCGATCCTTTAACTTCAGCCTTCCAAGTAGCCGGAACTACAGGCGCACACTACCACTAATAAGAAATTAGCCTGGCTAATTTCTTATTTTATTGTAGAGACAAGGTCTCACCAAGTTGCCCATGCTGGTCCCGAACCCACGGGCTCAGGCAATCCACTCGCCTTGGGCTCCCAAAGTGTTGGGATTACAGGCTGAGTCACTGAGCCCAGCCAAGTCCACCTAATTTCTACTAAAAAATGTGGGGAAGGAATAAATGCCAGCCCCTTAAAAAAATCAAATGCACTAAATTAAAGACATTATTGGTCCTATCTACTCTTGTCTTCGAGACAATGTCACAGTTTTTTCACAACTTTATAAGTGAAGTATACTTAATTTAAGAGGCCAATGAATACATTTTATAAAGCTTTATGTAAAACAGTCATCCCATCTTTTTCCTTACTGCTATAAGACAAACAAGAGACTTAACTGTATAAAAATTGTAAGTTTCATAGGTTTTATCTGGATTTTCTTAAATGCTTCAAAATAGATGCTTACAGCCAGGCTCGGTGGCTCAGCCTGTAATCCCGCGCTTTGCGAGGCTGAGGTGAGTGGATTGCCTGAGCCCGCGGGTTCGAGACCCGCCTGGGAAGCGAGACCTCATCTCTACAATAAATCAAAAAATCAGCCGGGCGTGGTAGCACGTGCCTGTAATTCTGGCTACTTGGAAGGCTGAGGCAGAAGGATCGCCGGAGCCCAGCAGGTCGAGGCTGAGGTGGCCGAGAGCAGCCACTGCACTCTTGTCTGGGCGACAGAGTGAGACTCCAACTCAAAACAAAACAAAACAAAACAAAGCAAAATAGATGCTTACACAGAGTCCAAATTAATTTTCAAAATTTAATTTCTCTTCCCCTTACACTTGGTATATACATTCTACACTGGTCTGCTTAGGTGTATTATAGGTGGCCAGGTGAGCTTGGAGTACCAGGAACAGACACAGCCTCCTTCTTCATTGATCTCAGTAGAGAAGTTTCTATGTGTGCAAAGGCATGAAAAGGTTAGGAAACCCTGCATCACAGGATAAAGTGTTACTGGAGAAAATCACTACTCTTCTAAACCGTCACTGGCAAGAGAAAGGAACTACATTCTGGAAAAGGCACAAATGCTCACTCATCCTGTACCAATATAATGCAGTATTGCATTTCAGCTGCAAGCTAAATAAAATGCACATTTTCTACATATTCTAGCTTGAGGATCCATACTCTGCACAGCTGAATATAAATTCCAAGATAATGATAGTAACAATCCCAACGAAGTAAATACTTATTATATACCAGTACCTGAAATGCTTACACATGTTAATTATTTCATATAATTCTTTCTAAGACTTACTGAAACAGATGTTAACATTTCTACAGATAAGAAAGCTAAATATTAGGAGAGTTAAATAAAGGACCACAATCTCTTGGAGGTCTTTAGGTTTCAGAACTTTCTGTATCTTAGAAAGCTAATGCAGTGCATATAACATAAATTTTGTAATGTCTCCAGAAGGGGTCTACAACAGCAGCAGCAGCACCCTTTAATCCAATACATTACTATTTTTGCAACAACATATATGAATATTCACACTAAGTGGGATAAACAAAAAAACACAGATTCTCTTCCATTCAGGTAAAATGTATGCTATTAAATAAACTATGGAAAGACTATCCATTTCCAAAGCTTTTTGGGTTTTGGAAGTACAGATAAAGGGCTGTGTATCTGCAATTTGCTCAAGGTCACCCTGGGAGATTATATGTCAGTATTTCAAATGGGTTGTAGCTGGGCTCGTTGGCTCAGCCTGTAATCCCGCACCTTTGGGAGGCTGAGGTGAGTGGATTGCCTGAGCCCGCTGGCTCGAGTCCCGCCTGGGCAACTTGGCGAGACCTCATCTCTACAATAAATCAAAAACGAGTGAGCATGGTAGACGTGCCTGTAGTTGTAGCTACTTGGAAGGCAGAGGTGGAAGGATCGCCAGAGCCCAGCAAGTCAAGGCTGCTCCCAGCCACCGCACTGCAGTCTGGGTGACAGAGTGAGACTGCAACTCAAAAAATAATAATAATAATAAAATAAATAAATAAATAAATGGGTTGTGGTGTTTCCCTGATGTGAGTTTAAATTCTAACTTCTTCATTTACTACTGTAATAGGTGAGTTCTTGATCTTGCATCTCTGTAAGAACTGACTTCACAGGGCTGTTCTGAGAATTTTAAAAGGTAAAGAATATCCATGTACTCAGGACACCTGGCTCATAGTAAACACTAAATAAACGTTTGCTATTAATAACATAACTTCAAAGAAGACAGGGATTCAAATACATGTTTGCCAACCTCTAAAACTTATGTACCTATGCCAAAAACTTGGGGAAGAGTATTTTTGGAGAATGTCTTCAAAGCACACATGACACGTGCCCCACCACTAGAACTACCAAGCAGTAAATTGAAACTTTAAAGGTCAATGTAAATACACATCCAACTGTCCAAATGTTTACCATATTAGTCCCACTCACAAAATCATATAACTGCTATTTTTAAGGTGATATTTTCTCTAAAGGTGATAGTTTTAATGATGTTTGCTACTTCTCATCTTGATATATGTACCACCCATTAGATTTAATTTTCTTAGTTAATTAAATACCTTAAAATTAAAATATTTAAAAATAACTAAGATATCTCCAGTTTTCTTGCAGTTTCCTTTGGGTGCAGGTTTTTTTATGTCTAAGCAAATTTAGGTTAGAAAAGATACACACAAATAAGACAGACAACAAGCCCCTTTTATAAAAATTATGTGTCTTAAGACTGTGCATCAGGTCAGGATTCAAAAAGAAATCTAATTTTCTGAAGTCTCGTGATAAATATAAGAAAAAAAATTTACAATATATTTCTTTAGAATCTTAGTTTTTCAAGCAGGAAAAATAAAAACTAAGCATTATCACTATATTTACAGTTGAGGACAATTTTGGGGGGCTATTAATATGCAAGTT